CAGCTTGGCCGCCCCCAGCGCCTGGGCCCCAGCGGCCTGAGGGTCCATGCCAGGCGGCCCGCTGCTCGGCGCCCTGGACGCTGCTCGGCCACGTGACGCTCCGGCTTGGCTACGAGCCCGAGGATACGCCGCGGAGAGCCAATCAGCCGGGGGCTGGCCTGGGCGGGGGGGGGACCGGGGTCACGAGGAAGCCAGGGGCGGGGCGGAGAGCGAAAAATCCCTCCCACCCGGACCCCGAATGGGCAGCAAACTGGGGTGCTGATTTTTGTAGCTCCCAGCAGTCCAGACCCTAGGACTGAAAAACTAACTGCATCTGCAGTGCTTCAGCTTCAAAAGCTCTAATTTCTCTATTAGTACTGAATTACCCAAGAGTCTACCTGGTAATGTAGAAAGCCCAGCTCTCAAAACTTTCAGTTCCATGGTAGCTCCAACCACAATTTCACTCTTCATGTCTTCACAGGTTTCTCTAGAATTCAGGAGGGCTCCTACGGAATTCAGGCTGGAAATGAAACGTAACTCACCCACCAGTGGATGAAACAACTCAGCAGCCCAAGTGACTCCACCCTGAATTAATTATTCTTTAAAATTAACTAGTTTGATCAAAACAACAAACTCCTGCTATGCACTGGACGTGTTTTAAGTTGACAGTCATAGCCCATAGCCCTAACGTATGCTGTGACGAGTCTGACCCCGGCTCTCTTTAAATGTTGAAAGCCTGGTACTCTACAACAGTTATCATTCCCATTTTGCCTCTGAGGACATAAGGCAATGCCCTCATGATAGGCAGGCCTGAGCTGCAGATAAGCCTAGTCCAGTACTCTAAAACTAGTCTCCCTACATTGTCTACACTCTAATAACAAGCCTGCTCAAGGTGATGATCACATGTTAACAATTAAGTATTAGAGAAGCTGGAAGCTGGGATTCCTTGCTCACCAAGCAACCATACGACAAGCTTTTGGGACCTTAAATTAGCCTATTCTTTACCTCCATCAAAAGGGTGTATTGTTTGTAAATAAAGCATTTGAAAAAGTTTAGCATAACAGTTGACACATATTATTCAGTGTTGGTTTCTTTTCTCTCTGTAGACTTTCCTGGGGGCGGGGGAGAATGTGACCAATTAATGTGCTCTACTCTGCTGGCCCAAGTCAGTCTCCCCAAGTCTGACTGGCTCTAGGTTAGCAATGTCCAACAGAACCTTCTTCAATGGTGGAAATAAACGTTCTATCATCTGCGCTATACAATATGGAAACCACCAGCCACGTGGTTATCAAGCACTGGAAATGTGGCCAGTGTGACTGAGAAGCTGGATTTTTTAATTTTAATAAATTTTAATTTAAATTGCCACACATGGCTAAGGGCTACTTACTATCTAACAGTGAAGCTCTACATGAACTAGCCAGATGCATTTCATCACCTGCAATAGTGAGAACCATAAATAGATGACGCACCTTCACAGTCTTGCCAAAACTAGCCAACCACAGCCCCCTTTACTCTATTCCCTTTCATGCCAACAAGTTATTTCTCTCCTAAAATAAAAACACTACATAGGATAACAGAATGTTAAGCTTCCCAGGACTTAAATGAGACGGGGAAAGAGGAAATTTTTCTTGATTTTAAAACAAACGACAAGCAAACAACTTATAGCACAAAAGCTCAAAATAAAAATGCCCAAATCAGACTCTAATATTCATAGGAATTTAATATATAATAAAGATAGCATCACAAATCAGTAGAGAGAAAAGTACTGGCCACAAATGGTGCCCAAAAAATCAGTTAACTGTTGGGGGTGGGGGGGGGGCAGGGAATAAGTTGTCCTAAAGAAAGGAAAGGGCTTTCAAAGTACTTTAAAAACAATAGAAATCACCAAAAATACCACTGGATGTCAAAAAACATCATTTAAAAAAAAGCTGGGGGTAAATTATTTGCAACAAACTGGAGACAAAAGATTAATATTCTTTAAATATATAAAGAATAATTTCTTATAAATGAATAAGAAAAAAGAACAGTTCAAAAAATGGTCAAAGAACATGAAAAGACAGAAGAAACATGAAAAAAATTAACTTCACTAATAGCAAAGAAGTTCACGTTAAAACGATACGTCATTTTTTACCTATTAAAATGGTAAAAATAAAAAACATAAACACCCAGTGCAAGTAAAGATGCTGACACTCTCATGCAATGCTTCAAAGAACCAAATTAACGATACGTATCAAAATTCTTTTAGTTATATTCTTTTAACCAGTAATTCCACTGCCAGGTATTAATCTCCTTAAGGAAATAACCAGGAATGTAAACAAAGATTTACAAGAATCTTTAACTACAGTGTTTATACAAAGGAAAAATTAGAACCACACGGGATTAGTAAAGTAATGGCTCATTTATACAACGGAGTGTAGTAATCCATTAAATATTTTTAAGGCTATGTAATGACGCGGAAAAATAATAAGTTGGACATGAATATAAAATTGCACTGAATGCTTGTCTCAGTGACATCATACGATTAAGTTAAAGGCAGGGCTTCCTTCTTTTGGAACCCCTGCTGAGAATTTCCATTTCTAACACGTTTCCTGAGGATGCTAATGATGCTGGTTAGGGACCAATTCTGAGAACCACTGGCAGAGCCAAACCAAAAAACCAAACCTGTTGCTGTGGAGACGATTCTGACTCATAGTGATCCTGTAGGACAAAGTAGAACTGCCCCCTTAGGGTTTCCAAGGAGCGGCTGGTGGATTCAAACTGCCGACCTTTGGTTAGCAGCCTGGCTCTTAACCACTGCACCACCAAGACCCCACTGGTAGAGCAGTGGTTCTCTAAATTTATTATACGATACATAAGAATTAACTGGGGATCTTGTTAACATGTAGATTCTGATTAAATATATCGGGTGAAACTGCAAGTTCTCGGCAGAGGTTCAAACCATAACAAACCGGTTCAAAGGCCTGGTTAAAGGATATAAAATTCTAACAACTCCCTGCCTCCCCTGTTCCCAGAATGTCCTCTTCTCCTCCAAGCCACCCTTACACACTAAACTTCTGAAGCACTTCTGTGCTGCTCTAATCTACTTCCCACACCTACCCATCTTTGTTCC